AGCTTCATCTAGAAAACGAAGATAATGACTTACCACATAAAGTCACTGTGGGGCTTCACTGAGATGACGCCAGCCCAGGTTCACGTGTTAACAATGCAGTCTTTGTTGTTTCCTCTTTTGTAAAATGTGGGGACTGTGGAATGGGTCTTTAAATTCCCATCCCAGATGAATGTGCAGTGTTTAATGAAATTGTATTAGTCCTTGGAGAAGATCTAACCTTAAAAGATGTTTCTGAGCCATGAATGTTTCCTGGAATTATTTATCAGACCAGCGCGATGGAGATAGAAAAGAGCCGTACAGTGCGGGAGGGTGGCTGGTCCTCGGGCCTGAGGACCTAGGCCTTCCCAGAGAGTTCTGCCTGGCTTCCCAGGCAGCTGGCTTAGTCATCATCTCAGTCTCAGTTTACCCTTGTTTACCTCAGTTTACCTCTTTGTAAGACAGGGCTGAAATACCGCCCTCACAAGATAGGGTTCATGAGATTCTGTGTGTGCATCTCTTTAAGCACAATAGAATAACATCCGTATCTGGAAAATGGGCTTCTCCCTTAGGGGACTATGAGAAAAACAAATGAGACCATGTGTATAAATTGATTAACACAATTCCTGGAGTATACAGAAGCTTCAGAGAATGATAAAGCACCAATTAAGGCCTACCACAGTGAAGTAGAATATTAAGAATTGGAACTCAGAGCCCTGTAGGCAGCTCCCAGAGATAGACAGGTGCCTGGCACTGAAGCACAGCCCTTCTTGCATTATGCTGGATATAAGTGCTTGCTTCTACCAGCTCCACGGCAAGGTGGCACCAGTCCAAGGAATAGAGTGAATGAAGCCTCCGGCTGCAGATAAATGAGCTTCACATTGGCCCATTAATCACTTTCCATTTTGAAAATGGCCACCCTCAATCCTTCTCTGTGGAGTTGATGATCACGTACAGAGGCTGCCTGCGGATAGAGATCCTGAGGAAGAGGAACTGAAAGATTCCTGCTGGTCTAACCCAGAGCCCATGTAGTCTGTTCCACACAAATTCAACTGCAAGTTTCCTGAGTCTAGTTCCATCCAAAGTGCATCTTTATTGAGCTCCTGCAATATGCCAGACGCTGCTGGGAACCGAGGAGTCAGGGATGAAGATGGCATGGACCCTGCCCCTGAGCTCAAAGACCTGTGGGAGAGAGGCACGATGAGGAAGCGACTTTCTATGACACATGGCAAGTGACGTGATGGAGGAACACATAGGATGCTACGGGAACGCAGAGAAGGGGTGGAGTGGTGTCCGGGAAGCCACCTGGAGGAAGGGATGCCTGAGTGAAAATGTGAAGGATGAGTTAACATAGCCTGGTGAAGTCAGAGGAAAGGGAAAGGACGGTAGAAAGGTGACCCGGGCAGATGGACCATCTTAAACACAGGCATGGAAGCAATTCGGAGCAGGCTGGGGCTCTGAGGGAAGTGCAGCACAGAGGCAGCAGTGGTGGATGCCACCAGCGAGGCAGGCGGGCCAGCCGCAGATAATCTAGAGCACAGAGGACCCACCTGACACCTCCCCCACATGGGTCTCAGCAAGTGTCCTGGGGCCTGGTCACAGCATGTGCCACTTACATAGTCACTAACTGATGATTAAGGGGTTGGGGGAGGGGTAGGGAGAGGCATGGACAACACTGCCATCCCCACCTCCCCCTCCAGCTTTCTGGAAATCACTTCCTAGATGGCCTACATGGCCTCTCCAGGAGGCCCAGTTCCTAGAAATGTCACACGTTGGCCAGGTCTAAAGAGTACTTGCCAGGTCAGAGGCAAAGACTTCCTGACACATAGGACCCAGGATTTAAGCTGAGCAAAGAAAGCTGGCTGCAACAGAATTTAACAAGTACCAGGAGATGGTGGGAAGGCAAAACAACAGGAGCAGTCCACACTTGTCCTGAGCTTTCCTATCCAGCAAAGGGGGTCCATCCATTGCAGGCTCAGGATAAAGAGGGGGCATGCATCTTGCTGAAGCTGCAAACCATTCCTAGGGCTGACAGTTAACTTTTCTCCTGCCCCTTTGTCCTGCTCCATGAAGACCCGGACCAACTCAAAGCGCTCCTGTGGCAACCACAGGGAATTGTTCTAAGTCGCTGTGAGTTAGCCCCTGAAGCGGGCTGAACACTGGGATGTGCTTGAACATCAGACCAAGCCAACAAGAATTCCCCAATAAACGCAAGCCTAGAAAGCAGGTGGCGGCAGACATGGAGGGATGATTCAGGAAGTAGGTAGCTAAGCAGATGGCACTGGAAACAGCTGGCTGGTTAAACAGTAAAAAAAAAAAAAAAGTTGCGGTGTGTTGGGAGGTTGCTCTTTGTTTGGGGTTTTTTTGTTTTGTTTTGGTCAATTCCAAAGAACACACTGGCAATGTTCCCTGCTCTATATAACCAACAGATTCCTCAGGCAACTCACACGAAGGAGAATACAGTCTGGAGTCTGAGGTGGTCCTTAAATATTTCCTCAAGCTTGATTCCTCGTCTGTGTTGTTAATAGCCAAGTGATTCGTTTTGTAGGGTAGCTTCCCCAGGCTCCCTTGGGCTGGACTATTTATCATGGCAGCAGCTGGAGATAAGCTGGACACAAAGAGGAATTGTGTGTCAGGAGAGCTGGTCCCTAGATACAGAAAGTGGAGGAATTTTCTCATTAGGAGGAAGTCAGTGGTGGGGACTCTGGGCTTTCATCCTGTGCCCCCAGTGCAAACAGTAGCAGAGAGGGGGCATCCTGGAGGGGAGATGTACTTGAAGATGCTTTCACTGGACAACTTAAAGCTTCCAGCGTGGATTTCCTTGGGAGAGATGAAAGGTATTAAATGCCATCAGCACTGATGAAGCTTTCCAAGGGGGAGTAGGAGCCTCTCTACGAGGGCTATATGGACTTAATTACTTGTTCCCACTCACAGAGGGGCCACAGTGGGAGGCTCCAGGCTGAATGTCCCAAACCAGGGCAGCAAACTGAGCGACTGAAGCTCGGGGCACTCTGAGGGCCAAAATCTCAGAGAAGCCATCACTGAGTTTGCCACCACAACTAGGCTGGCCTGGGAAACTCCGCACTGTGGGGAGGGGAGCAGAGAGAGGACAGGGAGTCCAAGCACAGAGAGTTCTAGAACACTCCCAGGATTCACTGACCTCAAAGGCATTGTGAAATCTGAGAGCAGATTAAACTGACCCAGCAGGAATTTTCCGAGATTAGGCTAGCATCTGAGTACATTTCCGGGTCCACTAATTTCATAAAAATTCTGAATACCAACTAGGTTCCCTGACAGCATAGGCACAGACGTACGGAATGAGGTGGGTCTCCTGATGGCCTCTTAGTGTGTTTCCTTCGGCAACTACTTACTACCAGCAGATTTAGTCCAGAGGAAATGAGCACTCTCTCGGCTGAAATTAATTGCCTCATCCTGAGCCCCGCTTTGGTGGTGCTTCCACTGCATTTCACATCCTGATCACATACCCTGTCAGCATAGTGCCCGGGAGGGCAGGTATGATGGTGTCCCCATCCATTCAGAATGGAGAAAGAGGGCTGCGTGTCACTTTTCCACCAATGTCACCACAGTCCCCTAGAGAGCACTCAGTGCATGGCAGGAAGGGGCTTGGATATATTGTCTGAATAAATGCATCTTTGTCCCCCAGATTCTAGAACAGTGGCTCAGCGTAGAGCACAGCATTAAAAAACATGACATATGCACTTCCATTTTTACACTTAAAATTTCCTTAAAAATTTTTTTACACTAGAACTGTTTATATTTGATCTTAGACAAAAATAACGACTTCACATAATAGTGGGAAAGGCATGTTAAAAGCACATTTCACAACTGAATGACTGCAGCAAGATACTGAAGCCATTCAATGGGAGAGGTCGTCTGGAGTCACCGCAGCATACTCATAAAGAAAAAAGTTGCTACTGTAAGTATTTTCAATGCCTTTTCCCAAAACATGGAAGATTGCTTTCTGTGTTTTTCCTGCTTTCCCTGGACAATAACACTGCACCCCACTGCAGAGACAGCGAGCAACCTTTGAGAGCCCAGCCGTTCTTTTCTTGCCCCTCCACTGAGTGGAACAAGATGCAGAAAACATTAGGGACTTAGCCTCATGCCTGAGATGCCTCTGATATGGAGCCAGGGAGCCCCTGCATGTGGAACTGTGGAATCCAACCCCAGGCATAGTCACATCTGCACGAGAGGGCTGCGCAGAAAGGTCCCATGTTTCCCTTTGGAAATCTGCGTGGCTTCTGTGAACAGACTGAACACCCCTTTCCCTTCCTGTTTCTTCCCCATTTCCTTCCTTTTTAAGCAGGATAAAGGCCTGGCCAATACTCAGCTGTGTGGGTCCTCTGGGTCCTTGGATCTGACACTGGCCTAGGGGCAGCAATGGGGCAAAGGGACTCCAGGCCAGCTCTTCTCTGAGCCACCTTCTCTCCGCAGGTGAGCATCAAGAATGTCCCTGTCCAGGGGGGTCCTTGGGGACAATTTCCCAGGAAGTACCTAAGTCCAAATCACTGACATGTATTGATGACTCTCTTTGAGAGGCTGATAGAAGCTCCCGTCCCTCTCTGGAAGAAGGTGCACACAGAAATGCGAAGCTCCATCCCTTTCTTGGTGGAAGAGGGTTTTGGACCCAGGTAAAGAATGAGTACCCTAGAGGATGATCAGATGGCCATGTCCACTTCCCCCTACTTCCTCCCAAAGAGGGTCCTGCCTGTGCACATCATGATGGCACCCCTGAAACAGTGATAGGTCGCTTCGACAGAGGTACCCCCTCACAGTGGTCAGCCAGGGGAGCTAATGATGGCACATCCTCAGAAGTCATTTCCCCGCCAAGGGTTCAGGCTGGAGGTGTCAGTAGTGCCCATCTTCCTCACATTCTACCTCCCTCATTTCCCACTTTTCCAGGCTTACAAAGGAAAATGCCAGTGCCCTCCACCCAACAAGTCAGACTTGAGGAAACCAACTGCTCCCCATCAGTCAGGAGGAAAATCAAACAGACAAAGCCAGCAAACCAAACCAAATCATTTTATTGTGCAATTTCCTTCTACCAGAAAATTACTAAAAATATAAATATTAACTCTCTAAAAAATACTCAGAATAGATCTGTAATCTTCCTCCTCCTCCTCCGAACTGCAGCCAGTCCTCTTTAAAGGCTGATTGATTGCATACATGTATGTCTTCCATATCAGCCACATACACAACATTCAGATACACCTCCCTCCGTGCAGGGGGATACACCAGCCTCCTGCCAGGTTCTGGAAGCTCACCTTATAATCTACCAGGATAAAGCTGTGTGCTGAGTAGGAGGTTATGATGGGGTTGGGGAGTAACAAGGAGATAAAAGACCCTGTGGTCCCAAATTCCTTATGTGGACAGAGAAGATAGGTCCTTTACTCCTCCTCATTACCCTGCCCTCTCATGGACTGGGCTAACTGAAGGCCAAGCTCCCAGAGAAGCTGGACTCACTGTGTGGGATTACTGGGGGTGTGGCTGCCAGGCTGCAGTCACAGGAAGGCCAGACTGTTGAGATGAACACGGAAACCAGGTGAGGCTTTGGATGGAAGAGCTGGTCTGGGCCAAGGCCTCTGCAGGATGAGTAGTAGCTGATCCTGCTGGGCTTTGGGCAGCACCTAGACCCTAGCACCAGGTACTATCTGCAGCATCTAAGACCAGACACCACTCTCAAGAGAGCCTCCCGAGGTAGCAGCGTCACCCCTGCAGCAGGGGGATGGGTGGGTTGTAGGCAGTTAGATTGGAGCAGGGTCCCGTGGCACTGTGTTCAGTATCAGACAGAAGTCTGAAGGACTCTGGGGTCACCCTGGCAATGGTCCTGGACAACCTGGTGGAGTCCTTTTGCTCATCCTGGGTCTAAGGTCCTGGACTCTAGCAGCAGCTGGGCTATAGAGTGGAGGCAGGGTACTTAAGAAAGACTGCACCTGCAATACCTGTACCTATGGCTGCCATATCATCGGGCCAGAGCCGCCCTGGGCTCTAGAAGAGGAGAAGCCCCAGAGTGCAGGGACTTGCTAAGTTTTCCACCAAAGCACAAATCATGTTCCTGGTATGGGAAACTCAGATGAAGTGGCTTGCTCCCAGGATGTGTGTTTGGGGACTCTACCCCTATCCTCAGCTCTGGTGTTTTGTGTGATACCCCAAACCATTCTGGGAAAACTCACAGGACCCCAAATGCTAGTCCTGAGACCTCCTCTCTGACATCACAGTCAGACATCACATCCTTGGAGATGTACACGTAAAGAACGTACACATAAGCCCTGCTCACTCTACCAGGGCCTGCAGGTGCCTTGCTGCAGCAACCTCCACGAGGGAGGGGAGAGAGCTAGTGGTGAGCACGTGTTGAAACCTGGCTTTCTGGGAGAAGGAAGACAATGGACGGCAAGGTAGAAGGGAAAGTGGTGGGAGGGCTGTGGGAAGGCCACACAGCTGCAGAAGCAAGAATGCAGGAAGGCACCCACATCCTAGCAATCCTGCTGAGGCTCCTAGTTCTGTAGGAGTTAGCATGGCCATTTTACATAGCAGTGGTGGTGGGAAGGGGAGCAAAGGCTTAGAGATGAGATGAGCTGGGAAGCAAGCCCTGGGTATCCCAGAGCTTATGGTTGGGAAGCCAAATAATGAATAGAACAGGGGAGGCCACAGAAATCCCAGGAGAAGGATGCCACAATGCCTGCCCCGGCTGGACGTGCCATTCCCAGCTTTCTCCCAGGGAACTGGCCACCTTGTTCAAGAAAAGGGATGTTCTCCTCTTGCTGCAAAGAGCCCCGGGATTAGGATCACCCCCTTACAGGGTCTGCTGGCCACAGGAAGACAGCACAATAGGACCCCTGGTGGGAGACCTAAAAGTGGCTTAATCCAGGAGAGCAGGAACCAGTTAAGGTTGGATGAACCTGGTCAGTCCCTTACATGGATCCTGAAGCAGGACACAGCCCATCAGCATCAGCATAAAAGAAGGGCAGGGACGGGCAGGGCGGGGCCACTCCAGTGAGGTCCAGGGCTACAGGAGACCCAGGTAACTTCAGCACAAGCACAAAGCACTTCCACTTAATTAAAAGTGGTTTCCCCCCTCAGTTCTTCTCACATTCCAATCTTTGTTTTTTTTTTTTTTTTTTTTTTTTTTTTTTTTTTGAGACGGAGTCTCGCTGTTACCCAGGCTGGAGTGCAGTGGCCGGATCTCAGCTCACTGCAAGCTCCGCCTCCCAGGTTCACGCCATTCTCCGGCCTCAGCCTCCCGAGTAGCTGGGACTACAGGCACCCGCCACCTCGCCCGGCTAGTTTTTTGTATTTCTTAATAGAGACGGGGTTTCACTGTGTTAGCCAGGATGGTCTTGATCTCCTGACCTCGTGATCCGCCCGTCTCGGCCTCCCAAAGTGCTGGGATTACAGGCTCGAGCCACCGCGCCCGGCCCTCACATTCCAATCTTGCACACGCTTCACTCTGGCTCTCACAGCAGGCCCAGGCCCTGAAACGGCATCATTTTAGGTTGCAAGGTGGCCCCTGAAAAGCTGTTCTGATCCCCAGTGATCGCTCTTCTCTGTCCCATCCTCACTCCCTTCTCCCTACTTCTGCTCTGGGTTTTTAGCTTCAGCCCTGAATGCCAAAACCACCCCCAAGTTCCTGGGCCCTCCCCCAAAAACAAAACCAGAGTGTGCTCGGCTGCATCTGCTGGGGCCTGGCTCTCCTGTCTTCACATACACAGCAAAGGAAGCCTCATCTTTCCTTCTGTGCAGGATGCCCACATTTTGTATTTGACATCTGACCAGATGGGGGAAACCTTGGGAACCCTGGGTGAACTCTCAAGGTCTCAGGCCTGGTAAGCATCTCCTCTGGCCTCCACCCCAGGGGCAGAGCAAACACGGCAACCAGGGGCCTGCGCTGTCCTGGGACCAAGAGGAGCCATGGCTGGGCTGTGGTCAGAGTGTGTGGCTTTCCAGGCCAGGGCCTATCATCAAGCCAAACCCATCATTCCTCATCCAGCCTTGCTCCCGCTGAGGCCAGGGGCCTCAGACCCATCAAGGAGGAGAGAGAAGGGACGGGGTGTGGGAGGGAGAACAGCAGGGGAGGAGGTGCATGTAGGGGACAGGCAAAGAGAATTCCTGCAAGATCCATCGTCCTGGGCTGGTGGCCCTGCAATTCACTGAGAAGACAGGACAAGCTCAAGAGTGTAAGAGCTCTAATGTCCAAGGGCTGCAGCCCACTCAGAGGAGGTTACAGAAATTTAGGCTCAAGATGGCATCGAGTCCTTTAGCCATTCTGCAGATAGACTCTTTAACTAGAACTACTCAAGGACTTCCAGTCCTGCAAAATCCCATGATGGACGACTGGCTCTCTGCTGGTGCCTCATACGAGGAAGTCCAAGGGCACGGTGGAGTTGGGGCCAGGGTCAGTGTGTGCAGTGGAGGAGAAAGCAGCAGGAAGACAAGGGCAGAGCTCAGCAGGAAAGAGCAGAGGCTCTATTCAAAGGACAGCAGGTCTGGATGAGGGCCCTCATTGTCGAGGCTGGAGGTCCGTCCCTGATGAGGGGGGTTGCCATCCTCCCAGGACTCAGCCAGGCTGATGGGGCTCAAGCTGAGTTTGAGGCCATTCCTCTCGATGAGGCTGGGGGAGGAGGCCCTTCTGCACTCAGTCATTTTTAGCTTGGATTCGTCCTGGCTATCCTTGTGGATTAGATCAGGTACTGACAGGGAAACCTCTCCATTAGGTAGAACTTCGCCTCTCTCTTCTCTTTCCATGGTGGCCTCTGGCTGTGAATCATCTGCTGGGACATCAGGCTGGGCAGTGGGAGCAGAGTCCTGGGCCTGCCCAGGTGATGGCTCTGTCCCATACTCCAGACTGCTCAGGACAGGCTGTGATGAAATCAGCATGTCCTGGGTGGTCTTCAGGGCCCGAGGGGTTCGCTTTCTGGTTATGGGAGGTGGAGGATCCAGCCGAGGAAATGCTTCTTGCAGGACTGATCTGTAAGGTTAATGACAATAAACATACATGCCTTAAGGACAGCAAGACACCAGTCCACCTGCCATCCTGCTTCTCCAACTCCAGTTGCACTTTCGACCCACCCCACTCAATGAATGCTCTACTCCTTGGGCTCTGGTTCTTGGTTTGGCATGTAGGTCTCAGCACCTTCAGCACAACAGTAGCTTTTGGCCTGGTCCATGCTCACTCACTGTTCAGAGCAGCACAAGGTGCTGGCCTCTAGAAGACAGGATAGAGACCACTGGTGAAGCTTGTCAAATCAGAACCCATGGAGTAACACCTGCGGAGGGCATGCCCCCCTCAGATGCACAGGTGTTTAAAACAAGGCCTGGAAAGAGCCTGTTGGTAGAAGGGGGAAGAACAGGAGGGCTGCTACGGGGGGCTTCTCCCGCCCTGCACTAGTGGGATCTGACAGGTGCAGGCTTCTCCACAAGCAATGGTCTAGGGCAGCGGTTCTCAGCTATGGCCAGGTATCAGAATCTACCTGGGGAACTTCTGGACAATACTTGGGTTCAAATCCGGCTCTGCCAAGTACTAACTTTGTGACCTCAAGCTGTTTACTTTGCCTGTCTGAACGTGAGTTACCTGCAGGATGGAAATACCATCTACCTCCCAGGGCTGCTGGGAGAGTTAGACAAAATGATGCAACCAAAGTCTGAAGCACAGTGCTGAGGACATGACACTCAGCAACCTTCAGCAGCACAGAGCTGAGGACATAGTAGGCACTCAGCAACCTTCAGCTGTGGCTGCGGAAGATGAAGCCAGCTCCTGAGAACGTGGCCTGATCCTGCAGCTTTTCAGTACAGGACAATCTCACACCCCTCCCTTGGGGCTGTTCTCCTGTGGAGACACCGTAGTTTGTCCCTGTACTTTTTCAAGTGGGTTCACAGAGGGGCATGGATGTTGGGTGGGTGAGGGGCTCACCTTTCATCCTCTGGCCAAGCCCCTGGAGCCGCATCAGCCCCACTGACCAGCTGTGCTTCTGCAGTCTTGTTGATCTCCGTCACACCCACACTGCCCAGGCTGGAGGGCTCCTTTCTCCGTAGGAAGTCATTCACTTTGGCCCCCATGGCTTTGCCCAGGTTCTTGAGGTGCTGGCTGCTGCCCACCCAGAGTCCTGGCCCCCCAGGCTCAGCAGAGCCCAGAGGGGCAGAGCTGGGGGCCACGGGCTTGGACAAGTGGGGGAAGGAGCGGCTGGCCTGGAGCTTTGGAGTGAGGGCTGTGTTCAAATTCTCAAACATGCCGTGGTCAACTGTGAACAAAGAGGAGACAGAGCGACATGATGAGGAAAAGGGAGTGGGACCTGTGCCCTATCATTCAGCTTTCCTTATCCCACACCCAAAACTTGTAACTTCCAAGCCTTTGGAAATATTCAAGTGAGAGCCGGTAAAGACACTCTTGAACTTCCCAGTGCAGTTTTCTTGATGGGAGAGGAACTAGAAATTCTAGCTCTGCCCCACCCAAGTTAATCAGTGACTAATGCTAGCCATAAAAAAATAAAATTGTTCCTGTAAACCTGCCTCCTTGATTCATGGGCTTGGCCCCTTTACCTTGGAGTCACCACGCCCTTTGAAGTAAAGAAAAAATGAGGATGAAGCAATGAAACGTGACATTTTTACATCGCTATAAGCACGTGCTGAGCTCTCAGTGGGTTGGAAGCTGGTGGAGGGACGGCATGGATGAGGCTTGGTGTTAGAAGCTCCCCACTGAAGCCCATGAGTATAGCACAAATTCTCCATGAAAAATGGGGCAGCAGCTCCTCAGGTCTACAGAGGTGGGACTTAAGCGAGTGGGCCAGCTCTTGCAGAGATGCTAAGTGGTGGTTCAGAATCAGTTCATACCAAATGGATAGGTCAGCCCCACTCAGTGCCAGTGAAGCATGAGGATCCTAATGAACATCAGCTTACTTAATCCTTACAACCACCTAGGGAGGTGGTGCATGGAAGGATATCTACCTACAGATGAAGCCTGCAAGACTCCACATAATGCAGTGCCGTGCCTGAGGTCACACAGTTTAATACTAGCAGGGCTGGAACTAGAACTCAGGCCTTCTAACCCACAGCTCAGGGCTCTGTCCACAACTTTGTCCTGCTACAGATCATGGAACAGCTGCCTATATATGCCTAGTACATAGTCCTTCTCGTAGGGATCCTCTTTGGCTTGAAAAATTAACTCAAAGAGCTGGGTATAAACCCATTAGGTTGTAAAGATTTGCAAGGCAGAGGCCACGCCTCATTCATCTTTGTATCTTCAACACCTAGCCTCAGTTTGGTACACAGCTGTGCTCAATACAGATCTTGACTCGCCAAAACCCATTTTGTAGATAGAAAAATTGTGGTGGCCAAGGTGGTAGCTTAAAAGTTCGTTATTGAAATGACTGGAGCTCCAGGCTCTAAGCCATGCTGTCCACACGCTCACACTTGGCCATCCTCTCCCTATCTGGAAATCCAGCTCAGTCATCAGGCAGCCAGACCCACTCTGAGGCCTTGGAACCTGGGTCAAGGTTTCTGTCTACACCAACTACCCCTGATATGTTGTCAGTCTGAGGGATGTGATCATTTGATCACTAGGCTCCTTTCCTTGTCAACACCTCTGCTAAGTGTCTATTCTCAGAGCCTCTTCTAAGAGTAACTGGGGTTAGGGTGTACTTTTTCTTCTGCAGAATTTTTGTGTAAAGCAGTTCTTTCTGCCCTGCACTGCTGCATCCTGGGCCAGTGGAAACCTTTCTTGTAGTTTCAGTGGTGCTATCCTTTTTTTTTTTTTTAATGAGTATACAAACATTTATTATTATTATTATTATTACTATTACTATTTTGGGGGGGACAAGAGTCTTACTCTGTTGCTCAGGCTGGAGTGCAGTGGCGTGATCTTGGCTCTAGGCTAGGATTACAGGTGCCCACCACCACGCCCAGCTAATTTTTTGTAGTTTTAGTAGAGATGGGTTTCGCCATGTTGGCTAGGCTGGTTTTGGACTCCTGATCTTAGGTGATCCGCCCGCCTTTGCCTCCCAAAGTGTTGGGGTTACAAGCATGAGCCACTGTGCCCGGCCGAAATGACAGTTTTTAAACATAAAACAAATTGAGAGAAGAATGCAATAAAGGCCACTATATCTGTTATCTCAAGAAAACAAGTCTTTTTCTCTGTGTGAATGACTGGAAGGTGTCATCATTAAGTTTAAATCTCTTAATAATTAGAGTTTTCTATATGATTATGCCAGTATTGCAATTCCTTTACATTATCAAAGTTCATCCTTAGATTTCTCCAGTTGTTTCCCAAATAAAACAATTTTGAGCCTGGAGGACAAGCACCAAGATCTGTCCTTGAAGTCCAGGAAGGGATAGCATTGCAATCAAATCAGTAAGTACAATCAATGGATTTGATAGAGGGCTGTGTAGAGATAGTAAAGGGAGGGTTGCTTAATCTAACTGAAGCTGGTTAAGAAATGCATAGTTTACTGTCACCTTTGTCCAGTTCTTAGAGATGAATGAATGGTGCTATCCTTTCTAGGCTGACTACCTAGATACATCATATTCTAAGGGCCTTTGGGTGGCAGGGAGGAAGACCTGTGGGAAGAGGAGTGGAGACTAGTCTCTGCAGATGAGCCCTGTGGCCTTCACCACTGCAGGGTGAGGACCTGCCAGGGAACAGCATGACAGCATCCCTCGGACACAGGGCCCGAGCTGGCTGGGCTCCGGATAGACCCGCCGCACCAGCAGAAGCTTCCAGCCCGCTCCACAGCAAGCAGGGTCATCAACTCCTGATTATTCTCCTAAGTGTGTATCTTGCCACATCCTCCACTTTGGCACAATTTGCCTGTCGGGTCCCACATCTGTCTTATTTTCTTTAATCATGCCATCTGCAAACTAGCAAAGAAGATTTGGAAACCAAACCATTTAACTATTTTCCCCCAAACCAGAAAGCACATAGACAACAATGAAACTGTACGAAATGCCTGGGGAAGGCAAATTGCCACCACTTCCCAAATCAGACATTTCCCTGGCGGTCTCCTTACTGGTTTAAAGTGACTTTTCAGAGTAGACATACTCGTTTTCAAAAAAGCAAGCACCAAAAACACCTGTCAAGGTGATTAGTAAATTATAAGCTATTATTATTTTTAAAACACTCTTTGTAATAAACGTAACTCTGGATTATGCACCATTTTAGATTTTCTGTATTTTTTGCTCTCTACCCTTCATAACATAGTCTATAATGCACTGAATTGTCAAGTAACGTAAAAATAGCCTACCATGCACTCCCTTTACCCTTGTCTAAGTCTTTCCAGTAAATACACCTTGTCTTAAAATGGTAAGCTCCTTGAGGGGCCACAGCATCTGAAGTGTTTCTTTATCTTCTACAATGCCGACCTTAGGGTCTTGCATGATAGTAGGCATTTAATAAGTTTGTTTAATTGAATTTGACTTTTACATGAATTCTTAAAAATTGCATGATGGGCTGACACTACAGGGAAACTGCCCACAAGTCTTTTTCCATTTATAAAAACCACTCAAAAACCCCTCTATGTGAGTGGTCTTCAGAGGCTCTGGAGGTCAGATCTTGAGAACTGCCCTTCTATTCCAAGTGAAAGTGGGCCTCTGGCTGGGGGTCCCTCTATCCCTGTGTCTGAGGACGTGCAATGGGTCCTTCTTGATGATGACGCTAATGACCCCCACATATTGTCTCTCTTGCTTTAGGACTACAGGCTTGATGATTCAGAAAATAATGGCAATGGAGGAGAGAGAGATGACTGGACCCCAGCCAGGTGGCCCTCCCCACAGCACCCCTCAACATGCACACACCCAAGCAGAGGAGGGCATCTGGGAATGTAAGTCATCCACAAAACAACGGATATCTTACCTGTCCGAGAAAGGGGCTTGGAAAGCAGGTGGGAAGCAAACAAGAGAAAGACTCATTTTACATAGTGACCAATCGCTTTGAGAGTGTCACCTACCACCTGGGCCACCAGCAACAGCAAACCTCGGGAGGACACAGCACACAAGACAGGGGACCTGCTACCAAGAGTGGTGCGCACCCGGGAACCACCAGGCTCCCACAAACTTTTCAGTGACTAAACCAAAACTGGGTCGCATTTAAAAAACTCTACACAGGCACTGAGAGAGTCCGCCTTCCATATTTCCCCCCAGTATGTTGAGCACCTTTACATTAAGTCTGAGGTTCCAGTGGGAAAGTCTGAAGTTGGCAGTGGGAGGAATGTGATGGGTCAAGACAGAATGAATGCAATTCCAAGTCCTCGGGGCCCTGTGTGCACCACTCACAGGTATGCTACTGTCCACATGCCACTCACTGGGTTTTAGCCAGGAAGACATTCATCCACTCGAGTTTAGAGTCTAAACTAATCATATAGGAAAATCAAGTAGCAGAGAGGTTTGCCCAGTATCACACAGGTAGCTCATGGCGGAGTGGGGTTAGAAGTCACATAAACCGATGCCCAGACTCATGAGCTTTCTCTACACCATAATGGACCAAATGAAATTGCTGATACCCCCCAAATTGCCAAAGTATGTGGCTTCAACTTACTTTCCAACACATGTTAATGTTCCAAACCAGGCTATCTGGGAGGAACACGAGGGGAATCATGTTGTCCCATTGTCCTTCGAATGTTTCAGTACTGTGAATAAATACACACAGGAAGACAACTCTGGGCTATCATGTGCAGAAGCTAACTCACACTCCAGTCACACATGCTTGACAGCACCTCAAAAGAAGCCCATCACTATTTCCAGAGTGGCCATCGCTCCCCATGCAGCATAAACATACCTGCCATTTAGATCTGCAGCCCTGTTCTGTATCTAGTTGACACGTGATAATCTAGAAAGGGGTGCCTTCAGTTTATCTTCCGAGTCACAATCATCTTTCACCTTATCCACACCTTGCTAGTGCACAATGTTGTCACAGGACAAGTGAAACGAAGAGGCAACCTTGCCTCTCTGGAGTCCCAGAGTCTCCCCATCAAACTGACTTAAGCAATGAGCAAAACAGTATTAAGTCACCCATTTTTGTTTTAGTCACTCGCTAAAAAGAGCACCAACCACTGAAACCAATATTTGGTCCCTATTCTTAGGAAATACACATTGAAGTACTTAGGTGTAAAAGGACATAGTGTTTATAACTTACCTTCAAATAGTTCAGAGAAAAAATTAAGTATACACACATACACATGGGGCAGGGGGCAGGAAGAAGGGGACTGATACAGCAAATCGGGTAAAATGTTAATAGGAAAATCTGGATACAGGG